TGTTTGTAATATAGATAATAAATTACAGACAAGACTATCAAACTTTGTAACAAACCATTGGTAAAACTTCTGTATCTAGATATATATATTATCGTGCCATGAATATATATATATATATATATATATCATATCAACTACTCTGATGAGATACACATCCCTAGTCTTGTGTTTAAGAAACTTAATAACAATTTTACTTAAAAAACAGGCATTTCAGTAGCAAAGACATTTTCCAAGTTAAAGAATTTTTTATATTTTTACAGTTATACTCAAGCACCTTTTTTGTACTCTTAACCATCTATCCATCATAATGGTAGAAAACAAAAGACCAGATTGACTGTTTAGTCACCTAGAAGTATAAATCACTAATAATTGCAATCACAATTAGTATCTGATACTAACTATGGAACAAATGATTTCACTGATATTAACTTTTTACATTTTGAGAATTAAAATGAATTCAAACAGATATTTAACTCTGAAGAACAATTTGCCTCCTTCACGAGAAAGGAAGAGGTGTTGAGAACAATGTATAGTTATGATACAAGTATTATACTACATTAAAGATATTCAGAACTTTAAGTCAGGTGACAGTGACAGAGCAAGTTCTGCATAACAAAAATGGGCAAACTGTGTTTCAGAAATAAGACTGCCTGCTTTCAACACAAGTTTTACTTCAAAAAGTGTCAATTTTTTTTAAATATTCTTGATTACAACAAACACAGTTAAACTTACTTGGTATAAAACGAATTTTCTAGTTCCTGATGAAAGGAAACATCCTCTGAAATTTGAAATGAAATGTACTTGAATGCATCATCTGGACTGTCTTGAAATAGCATATACTAAGCTGAGTATACTTAGTTATCATAAGTCTCAAAATTCTGTATTTTTCTTTTACACGTAGTCTAATGTATATATATCTAAGGTTCTTCCATAAAAGTTTGGGACAAGGTTATTACCATACACTTAATTTATTCTAATGTAATTGCCATCTTCAGAAGGAAAAAATGTTTTAATTTCTGTAATTTTTGATAGTCAGATCACTAACTAAGGTCTATAACTTGCAAACAAAATAACTAGTATGTTTTGTTTTTTCATACTTGGTATTTCCATTAAGTACTGAACACATCACATAAAGAGAATTTTTATAGCTTCACCTTAATCCCATCTGTCTTGACCTTTGTAAATATACAGGAGTTTAAAAAAAAAATTACATTACAAATTTTGATTTGACGAAAGTTCATTATGTATTTCATATTCATCTGACCACAATGACTGTATAGGTACAGTTGGTGTTTTAACAAATAAAAAAACAATAATAAATAATATGAAATTACCTTAAGTTAGGCTAATAAACTATTAGAAATAACTTTCAATATATATATATATATATATAGATATATAATAGAAATGACTACACATTATGCATAAAAGTTATCAGCTGCATTAACTTGAACACTATCAAGAACAGAACATTTTTACCTCTAGAATCTATGGCTAGGATGTCTCCTTTGACAACATATCTGAAAATAAATTTTAAGTTAAAAATTATTAGAAATTTTGTCAAAAATCTACATAAGAAGCTATTAAGATATTTGCATTAAATTAAATCATAACAAAGATAAATAGTAGGATTAACAGCATTCATTTAATATTGTAGGAAAATAGAAGAAAATTTGTAAGCCAGATAATTTGAAAAAACTGTCGTAAAGTGTTCTATCATTTGGCACGTTCTTTTGAATTATTTGGTAAAAGTAATTCTGAGACCAGTTCACTTAATGATAATGAATTAATTTATATCATCAATAATATTTACCACAGGCTAGTTTGCTTGTAGGCTTAGCCTCAAATGCTAAGTTTGAACAGAAATAACAAGACTAATGGTATCTAACTTATTTGTATAATTCTTTGGCTAGTTGATCCAGTAACTGAATAGATGCAATAACTCTCACAACTAATACTGAAATGAGTCACTCTCTGAATACTTCACTTAATCAATCAATCAATCGATTACTAACTACTGATACTGAACTTTCTAGATCTTAACATCATCATAATGATGAACTCCCTCTAGCAAACATCTAAACTAAAAAAATGGAGTATAATTTACAGCAACATATACCATCCTAGTTTAAATCACAGAATTAGAAACAGTAATGTATGACTATTCACAGTACGCACCCTCTAAGCAAAATATCAAAACAAAGAGGTCTATAATATAAAGTATATTTTGGCAGTGTTTAAGCTGGGAAGTAAAAAGTATTAGTTTTTTGGTTAACACTTTTTTTAAGTTAAACAAATAAACATAATTTTTAAAATAAGAAAAGACAAAGTATGATGCTGAAAGTTTGAAACAAGAAATTGATATCATTAACAAGTTCTTCCAAGCTGATGGTAATCCCAAGCAGTTCATTAAAAAGACATTGAAAACTAATTAAAGCCTTGTCACTGAACCCCTTAGAAGAACCTTTTACCATCACTTCCCTACATTTTTACCTAAACACAAATTCAGGAGAATTTGTAAAAAATTTAAAATCCAAACTTAGCAAAAGTATTTTAAAAATCTTTACAAGACTATACATTCTAATAATTCCAGGAAACAAAAAACGTTTAGAATGTCCCCCTTCAGATGCAATAAAATTGGCATTGGGGAAATGGGAGTAACTATCAGAGACCAAAAGAGTAAGATGATGCAAAATGGGAGCTGCTGTTTTCAAGCATGAATGCAGATGTTTATGTAAACATTTTGTTTCTCATCATACACTAAATTTTTTTTATACTCCTATTATCATAAAAAAAAACAAAAATGTTCAAGTGTCCATAACAATAATTACTATATTATTCACTTTTCAAATGCTTTTACTGTAAAAGTAATAACTAACGTTAAAAATTTTATTATTTAATTTATTAAAAATCTTATTAATTTTATGATCTCAATGAAGTCTAATTTTCAATACTTAGAATACTGAATAATTAGAATATGTTTTTGCCATTCACTCAAGTTTTTTCTTGACAATTCCTTTAGTTTGAATATATATCCACACACACACATTATATATGTTTCATTTATACATATAATATACAAGAAATTACATTACAGAAACTATTTTCACATAATCGTACAATAGACACTAGTGCATCAGAAAATAATGCATCACAGGAAGTTACTCAAGCCCGAACATTGGTACACATATATTCACTGCTTAACAGTTTCATATTCTTGTAACACAATATATTTCCTTAAATATTACATAAAAATTGTTGTTAATTGTAATGAGGTATATTATCTTACAAAACGTATTTATAGAATACATTTGATGTTCTATTAACAGTATATAACTTCAGTAAAAAAACAATTTGAATTTTCCTTTAAACAACAGGTAGCATAAACAATATTCAAGGGTTCTTAAACAGACACTAAAACCTAATGCTTTGTCAACAAATCCCTTAAAAAAACTTTTACCACCATCTCTCTACTTTTTATGCCTAACACACACTATTCGGGAGAATTTGTAACAGATTTAAAAACAGTCTGATTCAAATTTATCAAGTCTTTGAAATATTTTGACAAATTGTGGAAAATTGTGCTTTTGTACTTATTAACAATTACACAATATGTAACACAAATTACTGTCAAAAAGTACATCTTCTCACATAATAGCTTTCCTCAATTTGTGCTGCCCTCTATATGCTCAATTTTTGCTTCCCACAAGCCTTGAAGCTCCCACCAAAGATCACTTTACATACAAATGAACATGTGACAACCCTCCACCAATAGGAGTGCAACACACTCTCCCAGGGCAGCTGACTCCCTTTATACTGTACAGCATAATCATCACTTTGAGATTAGGCAAGAAAAGACACATCAGAAGTGGGAAGGAGGGGTGAGAAGTGGGAGGTAAGTATCAATCGGAAAGACATTACCTCTTCTCACATAATAGCTAGAATTTCACATTGAAATGGTGAAGGGACTGGTGCAAAAGTTACCTTGGTAAGCCCCCATAAGAAAGTGCTCAAAGAACCTATGGAGCATGATACCCTAAAACCATGAAAATATATAGTCACACCCATGAAAGACTGCAACTCATCTGTACCAAGATATACTCTTGTCTGCAGTAAAGATGCGTGCCACCATGTTGGGCAGAAAGGAAGCAAGTCCAACAAAGAAAATGGATGTGCCATTTGGTATAAAGTGGCTAAAGTGCATCAGACTGTACTCGGTGAGTCAACTCCAGCCCAAGACCAGGTAGCCTTGGATATGTGTCTTTTAGTTCCTAGTAGTAGGAGGATCCCAACAGTCTTGACCTTTGATGCAGAAGAGAAAAGCAACTTCTGTTCTGGTAACCTAGGCAGGGCACATGTATACAAGACCCAGTACACAACCAACACCATACCATCCAGGAACCCAACATCTATGCAACAGTAGGAAAGTTGGAATGCAAATATGGTGAGTCAACTCCAGTCTGAAACCAGGTGATATCTGGAATGTTCCATCTGGTCTGCAGCAGGAGGAGGGTTTCTACCAACCACACATGTGAGGGCTTATGTTGGTTGGTCCTGCACTGATCCAACACCAGACCACCCAGGAACTGACATCTGGTTGGTGGAAGGATGGGTGAAAGCCAGATGAAGGGGTGAGCTACATATGGCAGATTCATCCAGTGCAAAACCAGGCAGCATCAGGTATGTGTCTTCTGGTCCATTGTAGGGGGAGAGTACACACCTTTTACACCAATAGAACACCACTGCCTACTCTCTATTGATGAAAGTGGTCATACTCAAGAGGAAGCCTCCATGGTCCACCACCCTAGTGGCAAGGAACTGGTAAGTAGCAAGGACTCACATACTCCACTAGAAGAGGGTAGGAAGTCTCAGGAATGCAACACCTTAAGAATGTGCAATGGGTGAGCACACAAACCCTATTTTTAAAAGCAGGCCAGTCCCAGTTTATTCAATTTGAACTGGATAGATTGGCAGCAGTTCCATCACTGCTTTACCCCTATGACTATTGGTGCACTCTTTAAATTCCTTTCTGCACATGCCACAGTGTTACTGTTACATTCAAAATTTAATTAAGGCACTTTACTGTCAATGTAGTTTAATGAACTTATCATTATCAAGTACATTATAATTCAAAGTTTTATATTATTTAAGTTTTTATTCCTTTATTTCAAAAGAAACCTCTAAAACAATAATTAAAACTTCAGTTTTCTGGTGACATGTTTGTGGTTAAAAATATCTTAGTTTTCCTTTCTTTTATTTCAGTTGTGTTGTGCCTTAGTATAGGTTTTGACCAGACTGTCAAAGTATGCACATTTACTACTAACTAGGTTGAATTCCAAGAATGACATTGTAAAAGTTCTCCCCCACCACACCCACACATAATTAGAAAGGGCTGTTGCTTAGTGACAAATTAGATTTGAATGACATGCTTATAACCAAAAGAAAGAGCAGATTTCAAAATATATTTCCCCTACATTTTATATGATCTCATGCAATGTAAAAACATTGAATACAAAGGTGTACAGTTGCTATGTGCATTGTTGGAGATTATTATCCCTAGTACTATTTTTTCTCGTCTTATATATATTAGTTTGATAGACAGTTAAATTGCATTTAGGTTTTACTTGTGTATTTTAGTTAATTACATCTTATTTACATTTGAAAATTCATACTTGAAAGGTTTAATGATTTTTTAAATTTATTCTGTGCTTTTCCTTGTTCAACATGTGTTTCATAAATAAGCAAGTGCAAACAATTTTGCTGCAAACTAAACCATCTCTGCCAAAGATAGGAGGTTCTAAAGATTATGCAAATGAAATGTAAAAACTGTAAGATAATAAATGGTATTTTTATAGACAACATGAAAATCACCTTGCAGGTGAACTATTCAGTCTGAGTGCAAATGTTTTATTTTTTTGAAACTACATACTTTTAGGATACTGCTTGTCAAATTTCAAACAATTTCATCCACTAGTTTTATTTTTGGAATGAAATATATCAATAATGACATTAGGTCATACAAATTGTAGGAGCTTGTAGCCATAGGGCTACTAGCGATAGTCCATGAGTTGGTACAGTCTGGAACAGACCTTATTTATGAGGAAATATACTGCAAGAAACCCTCAAGCTGTCTTGTGGAACACCCCATTTCATCAGGGAGCCTAAAAGTGGGATCCAAATATGTAGAAATAGGCCACTGTAAAGGTAAGATATATAAAAAGAGATCTTATCCATTCAGAGCAGGAAATGAGCAGGAATGACGATGGGATGAAGTTGATAACCTGAAGAAGAAAAGGCTAAAGGATGAAAAAAAATAATCTGCTATGAAAGTAAATGGGGTAGTCCACATGCCAGCCTGCATGATCTCCTTCAGTAGATGATGGAGGTGAAGAGTCAGAGAGAAAGAATAAAGTGTCAGATTTGGTGAGATGAGATTTGAAAGAGGTGATGTAAATCTACACCCAATGAAGCATAGGTTAAATGGATGAGTTGCTATATCATTTGAGGGTAATGGGAGCAATATCTCGGGGAGATGAAGAATACCAAAGAATAAATAGACAGGAGCATGTACCATGAAAAGGTGGATCAAATAATGAAACACGTGGATGGGACAGAGAATACGATTTGGAACAGAATGAGAATAATAGTGAGAAATAGAAGATAAAACATACAAGAAGCACCAATAGCACACACATCATATCTCCTATGGCCATAGGCAAAATGTAAGAAATAGGACCTATGTGAAAGATGTTACGAGAAACAAAAGGCTAAAGATTCAAAGAGAGGAAGGGTAAGGGCATGGAGAACAGCATTCAGGTTCTAATTAGGAAGGACTGCAAGTCAAGGAAGGCAAACATGGCAAAAAAGATGAAAGAGCATAGAAAATACAGGAGAGAAGAATACATGACGATAATTAGAAAACCCAAAAGTATTAGGTAGAGTTGTCCAGTAACCAGTCATTGTCAAAAGGTATAAGCCTTGATCAAAGAGCCAATGAAAAATTTGCAAAGATGAGAAATAGAAGGAAGTCTATATGTGAGGAGAGCCTTGAATGTTTTCCAAGGAACTGGACAAAATCCACACAAGTTGGAGTGATGACACTGCTGGATGGGAGAGAGAAAGATGAGCGAGATTGAAGGAGTATGGAGTGACAAATGTATAAAAAGAGGAGGAAAGGACAGGAGAAGGTACAAGAAAGGAAACCACAGCTGATCCAGCCAGTACAGAGTTAACAGGAGGACTCAACATAGTGCCCTAAATGAAGGGAGAGGATGAGTAGGAGAGTAAGCTTGAAGAAAAAGGTTGGACCAGTCCTGACTGAATGCATCCCCAGCTAGAGCTTAGAGAAGATAAACAGGTGACCAAAAAGATGAAGTAGGATGTTGAGAAGAGTGGTAAAAACATCTAGAAGAAGAGTGTCCAGTTCAGAGCACAACCATTTGAACACAAGAGGATTGAGGGACCAATCCATAGGTAGTATCTTGGCAGTCCTCAAGAGACAACCCACAACAGGATTCAGGGCACTCAGTATAGAACTAGCAATGAGATGCACTTGTAAAGAATGGGCTCAAAAATGGAAGTTTATAGCGTGGAAACAGCGAGAGCGAGACAGAATGTCCCACTGGCAATTGTACATATCATCACTAAACGTCTATGAAACATCCTAAAAATGATCCAAAGCTTGATGTGCCACTCAAAGTTCTGAGAGATGGATATGAAGGGATGATATGTTGTGGTACCACTGACCCAAATGCATGTGAAAGTTGAGAAATACCCCCTCTTGTCAAAGAGGCATCTAGAAATGGGAGGAGACCCAGACAAAAGGAAGGAAGAGGAAAATCTGCCATGAAAGTAGTTTTATCAAGTCATCAGGTAAAGTTTTTGAGTAAGGAAGGAGAACAGTTCAGGACAAAGGATCCCAAACAAGGGACAGTGATCATTCAGAGTTCATTGTAGGCATTGCAAATGATCACAACCCAAGGGGATATGGAATTCCATGGAAGCTCAAGTCCTCAAAAGAGAGAGAGAACCTCCCACATATTGAGGGAAGAAGAGAATATGGCATGAGAAACTAATTGTTCCAGTCCTTCAAAACAAGAGAAGAAGGCTGGGCGCTGTGACGATGTTAATGAAAAAACACACAAATGAATAAAAAACAAAATGTTTGTGAAATGTGGCTCCTCCAAATTGACCACCCAACACAGACATGCCATCTCCTGAAGGAGAAGAGAATGGCTGTAAGAGGCTTGTTGGGATGGAGCCAAATAAGAAAATAACTATTTGATATGTCCACTTTGGTCATCCTAAGACCTGGGGCAAAAGACCACTATAGGGTGAGAATGTCCTCAAGGGAAAGCGAGAGAGGATGAGAAATTGGCTGAAACATGTAAAATGTAAGATCTAACACCTATCTACAGATCCCTTAGAAACCACAAAGAGATGGGATTAAGATCCTGGAAAAGGGTGAGAAACCCTTCCAATAGCAACTTTAGCCTTTAGAACTGATGTTGGCAAAAAACAAGATCCTATGGAGGAGGGAAAATAATAGGAGCAGGAGACCATGGTGGAGGAGAGGAAAACCAAACAGTTGGTTGCAACTGGAGAGCAAAGGTCCATAAACCAAATGAAACAGGCCCTACTGACACTGAGCCTATAGGGCAGTTACTACCAAGACTGACAGCACCAGTCTACAAGTGGTAAAAGGGCAGAAATGAGAAGTGGTGACAGAGAGAGAAAAGGAAGCAGGTGGACATGAGATTGAAAGAAGGAACATGAGACAAAAGGTGAATCAGTGAGGATAAGAAGTAACATTAGCATGCAGCCCCAACATATGACACCAGAGAAACAAGCACACCAGTAAATAACATAGGCAGATGAAAGGAGCCAGGGGAAAGCATACAAGATAAAAGGGAGGCAAAGCAATTTAGTAACAAGCACTTCATGCCCCAACCAACTCTAGCAACAGATCTATCAAATATGAAGTGAAAAGGCTGAGGAAGAGAAACATGCCACTGTAGAAAAGATAAATGAATGAACATCTGCCAAAAACCCCACAGGGAATGGTGCATTACCCCAGAAAAAAAAGTTGAAAGAAGAAAAATAATAGAAAAGAGTAGTGTGCAAGACAAAGGTAGGAAAACCTAAGTCTAAGAAAGAAGAACAAAATACATGCTATAATGCAACTATACCATGTGCAAACACGTGATGTTAGGTGGGAGCCTCAAGGCTAGTGGCAAGTGAAAATTGTGCATATAGAGAGCAGCATAAATCGAGGAAAGCTATTATGTGATGGGAGATAAGATATCACATTGGCAAAAATGAAAATTGTTAATCCCACTAGATATAATCTTAAAAAAATCAAGAATAAGCAGCAAATGAACAGTAACTAGGTCTACCTGTCAATTTCAAAATATTTACTCAGCAAAGGTAAGTCACTGAAAGAGGTATAGCTTGGAGACTGAACAAGAGACAAGTGCAGCTCATTTGCATACGGAGGCGAAATTTCCACTTTCTCAGAGTCATCTTCACGCAAGTCTTCTTGAGTAAGCATTCCCTGTATGTATTACAATGATTTAATACATAGAGAAATATACAATACCAAGTGAGAAGTAAATATAATTTTGACACACTGTAACATGACTTTTTTCTAAAAGGAAATGTAAATTTTGAATTCCTTGTGAAATTTGGTCAGAATGTTTACTCATTATTCTTTCATAGATTTAGAATATATTGATTCTAATGCTAAAGTTAAATATGGTTTACCATCACAGAAACAAAGGTTAAAATTAGATTTCAGGGTTGAAATGTTGTTCAATTGTTCCTTAAAAATCCAAATTCTCCAAATATATTTACCTTTAGCCATCTTAAAACAGAACCACTTCTGTAGAAAGTAACAAGAAAGCATGATTTTACACATACATTTGAAAAAGCAAAAGTGAGCCAGTGCATGTTGAATCAATAACTTCAGGAAACTTTCAAATTAGATCTCTTCCAACTGTGAAGATAATTGGCAGAGATGTTGGTGCCATAGATATATAATATTTAGTCATGTTTCATATCTCTAGGTGTAATGGTTTTTATGTGAGAAGTCACCAAATATTGGATCCAAAAATGGCTCCCAAATTTAAAAAATGACACAAAAGTACCAATAACATTATTTTTAACACGATAGTAAAATGTGAATACCACTGAAAAGATCACTTTGTGCTCTAGCCAAACATGCCATTTTTTCTAATATCTAGAATTTAAATTTAACATTTTCCTTACCTGATAAAGTATTTCCAATAGATACTCACTTCCATACACAGAATAGTTTGAATATGCACATTTGCCTGTGAGATTTGCATGCCACTAGACTTGAGCTAACTCCCACTTAAAAATCATGTTCAATGTTAACTGCAATGATAGCAATCCACCAACAGGATGGTGACAGGCCTATTGACATGGGGTCAACTTCCTAGAGGCCCAGGCAAATGAAACCTGGTTATGCTGGAAAGCACATTTTTACCCTTATACAGTGAGCTAAAACAGTTGCTGTTTTAATTTTGCCTTATTTATGAGTTTGTTGCTCTTATAATTTAGTATCTTCTTTTTAATAAGTTCTTTAAAATGTTAAAAAAAAAGAATGAGAAAGGGAGCCTGGTGAGGATGTTTGCCCAGGGAGACTGCATATTGTCTCAACCAGGGTACACTCTTTGTCCAGAAGAAAGAAAGAAAAAGTGCCACTAGGATGAGTGGAATTTTTGCATTCATACACAAGTGGTCAGCAAACCAAGAAGTATTGTCTCACCTTGACTCAATTGGGCAGACCAAGATGGAGTGATGAATCCATTTTGCTTCAGGAGGAGGGACCAACACAACCCAGAAACTACCACCACTGTCATACTTCCCACCATATTGTTTGTAAGCAATCAGTGATGAACTCTCCAAGGTTCACCATCTCAGTGGCTAGGAACTAGTAAGTGGCAAAGGTCTCCTGTGTTCCACTTGAAGAGAAGGAGGGGCTTTGCATTGGGGAGACCCAAAAAAGTGCCAAGATCCCCTTTTGACAGCTGCTGGAAAGGTCTTTTACTTGATACAATGCAATAAGAGACTGTGAACCCCTATTTTGAAAAGCCCCTAAGTGTAAGCCAATGAAGTGACCAGTTACTTCCTTGGAGCCAGCTTTTTCCAGGATAGTCCATAGAATGGTTGAGTTTGGATCAGGCAACTGAGTAAGTTTAATACCATGAGGATACCTCTAGTGGTTTGCAGAACACACCATCTTAACAGTGGGCAGTGGTAGAGCCAGGGCAGATGGGCTGAGTGCTTTCCATTACCCCTGGGCCAATGCAGATTTTGGGAAATAAGCATACTCTGAGAGGCAACACCAGCCACCTGAGAAGAGGATGATGGAAAAGTAAATGCATTTACCCTTCTCAAAGATGGTGTGTAGATTGTAGAATAACAACTAGAGGGGGTCGAGAAAGAAGGGTAACCATTGGATCAGACCCAACAGGATAGTCACTGACAAGACAATCAATGACTCTGATTTTGTGAAGTGGGAGGGTGGGAAGCAGGAATGAAAAGGGAAGACATGGACTGAACAGGCCTAGGAACGGTAAGCAAAGGACAAGGTTGAGAGAGATGAGAAGACCTTGGCCTAGGTCTTCAGAGAGTTAGGAATACCACTGAAGACTCCCAGGTGAAGAAAAGGAGGTTGGCAAATATCACAGAGATAAAAATGAGGCAGGTGAACATTAGTTAGGAAAGTATCCTGACTTAACAAGTCCCAACAGCAGAGGAACTAATAAGGGAGAAATAAAGCAGTAGTACAGGCTAAAGTGGTGAAAAGAAGAGAACTAACATCTCCAGAAAACCCTTTAGAACCATGGTGAAGTGCCTCAGACTAAGATGAATTGAGGAGAAGACTAAAGTAGGAGGGTGGTAAGAGAGAGATAAAGAAGTGAAAATTGGGCACTAGAAAGTGAAATAAAAGTTAAGGCGTCTGCCCCCCAAACAGGTAAAAAAGATTCCAAAGTCTGGGAATCGAGGAACAAAAATGAAGAATGGCTTTAAATCAGAACAAAAAAGTTAAGTGGGTGGGGAGAATGAGGCATATGATTACGGGTGTGCAGTTGTTCAAAAAAAAAAAGGAGTCCGCATAAACCCTAATATCAGGAGAATGGAAAACAAAGTAATCTTGAGTATGGGTTTTGTATAGTAAAGAGTAGGATAAATTGAAAGACATTGGAGAACGAAAAGGACATATCTGTGAAATCAGTTCAAGAAGAGATTAAAAGACTGGGGATTTTCCTGATAAAGCAGAATCTAAGGCAAACCCTGGAGTGGGAAACAGCCCATCAAAATCATCATCATCTTGGCCATGTTCAAACTGAGAAAAGGGAATGTCAGTCAAATGGATGGGAGTAGGAGGCCCTGCATGCATGAGGGAACCAACAACTCATAACAATGGCTGCCACATCCTCCACAGACAAAGAACCTCCAGTAGTCACAGGTCTCGTGTTAGTAGCATTGTCACCAGCATAGGATGAAGTAGAAGTTACCATCACTTGAGAATTCATAATGGGCAAGCAGAAATTGTTTTTTCCTTAAATTTAGTAAAGATAGAAACAGTTAAACTTAAAAGAAATTCAAGTTCCTTAAACTATCAACAATCTCATGTAATTAATTAGTAATTTTAAAACACATCCATTCAAAACAATGCTGAGGAAAAGTTTTTTGAGCACAAATGCTCAGGGGAAATTACTATGCAAGGAGGTTATGTTGCCCTCCTATTGGTGGAGGGGTATGTCACATGATTATGTCATGATTTTTAAGTAGCAGTTAGCTCAAGGCTAGTAGCATGCAAATCTCATAGGCAGATGTGCAAGGGATCAAGCTGTTCTGTGTGTGGAAGAGAGGTATTATCTCAGAACTTTGACATTTGACCTTACTTGACTGTCAGCCCCAAAAATCAAGGTTGGTTACTAAATTTGTATCACATCAGCCTGGAAAATTGATGGAATCAAGAGGTATTTACTCATTATATTGTATCATTGTAGATTCATGAGTAACACATTTTAAAATAACTAAAAATGAAAAACAAAGATATAGAGAGAGGGTGCAATCAGTTCTGAAAACAAAATATATAGCCCATCTCTAATGCTTACTAACAGTTCAGTTTTCTTTAACATGTGATGACTTACCACTGCGTCACTGGGAGTAGAACTAGATGAAATGATAGAACAGCTGAAGGAAACATATTATGGGTTCACTATGAGAATTGAAAAGATTCAACTGTTAATAATTGTGGACAAGAGGTAGAGCATCCAGAAATTCAATGCTGAATTCAACACAACATCTCATATGGCATGGACAGCAAAACAATAAGTGGAGGAGAAAGGCATCCTTGCCACACCAAACCTTCAACCATGGAAACCTTTCAGCAAGAATACAGTAAAAGTAGTGAAAGATTTCTATGCAAATGATCTAGTCAGGAAGGAAACATTTGCATCAAAGGATAATTTGTGATAAGTTTATTGCTAGAGAGTTGCCTCAGGATGGTTTATCCTGCAATTCTACATACAGGGCACTGCTAGTTACAAATATAAGAAAAAGTATGATTAGAAGATGGAGCAATAGACATCCACAATTACCTAACAAAAACACATTTTGCTGGTATTTGTGCTGACTCATGAGGCAAGTAGAAAGTCATACTTTCTGCTTGTAAAATATGCAATTAAGCATACTGAACATTTCTTTCAGGATGAACAATCAACATTCAACTCTAATGTAGGCAGGATGTTTATATAAAATGAGATGCATAGATGAGCAGATGATGGAGAAATTGTATTTGATATCTGGATGAACTCATTAGTAATGAAATGAATGGATACCAAAAGAAAACCAGAACTGGTGAAGTTAGGATGTTGATGCTATAAATGCTCATGATGAATAAACAGGCAATGTTCACCAATGTCCTCAGCAGTGAACAGTTATTATAACATAACATTAAAGGACAATAATAAATCTTCTGGTCCATCTATGCTATCCTATCTACTAAATTAAACACTAAAAGACTCAAAGTCAGCATTTACCATTCAAATATCTATCAAGCTTTCTCTTAAGCTCCCTTAAATTGACTGTATCTACCACATCTGAAGGCAACTCATTCCAAAGGCCAACCATCCTGTTAAGGAAATAAAGCTGTTTCAGCAGAAGATGACTCTTACCTTGCCAAAACTTATATTTGTGTCCTCTAGGCTTACCATTCTCACCATAAAACACACGCAAAAAAGATAATGCATCAACACTATCAATTCCCTTAACTGTCTTAAACACCTTAATCAGATCCGTTCTAACTCTTTTTTTTTTCATCAAAAGAAAACAAATTAAGAGATCTTAACATATCCTTATCGGACAACCTTTCCATCCCAGATATCATCCTAGTAGCTCTCCTATGAATCCTTCCAAAAATGCAAAGTCCTTTCTAAGGTAAGATGCTTAAGACTGAACACAGTACTTCAAATGTGAGTACAGCTATCCTGAACAATTTCTTGCATCGTGATAAGC